GTGTTTGTCGAGAGCGACTGGATGGTCAGCTCCACCGGGGCCCGCCCGGCCCTGCCGCGCGGGTCTCGCACCGGCACCTCTATCCCCGTTCTCATCCTCCTCACCCCCCTCCAGGTCCCCCGAACAGGAATAACACGAAATCGGTCCCGGCTCCGCCCGACCCTCGCCTCCCCCCCCCGAGCGATGAAAGGAAGTAAGCGATTTTTAATTCACTCCCCGTGACTGAGCGGGCCGCCCCGCGCCCGGCCCGCCTCCCTGTCCAGTCGGCTCGTTCTACTTTTGAAGTCGTTTGGGCAGCTTCCAGCTCAACTTCCTTTTTTATTAACGTTTTATTGTTTACTCCGGAATGGAAGTTTCTTAATGGGGGCAATTATGAATGAAAAACGCGGCGGGGTTTCGTACGACAACCTCCCTCGTCCCCAACCTATTTCCCCCCACCCGCTCTTTTCTCTCAGCCTTATTGCTCAGTCTCTGTTGTCCTGATGACACAGGTAAGTTAGGGTTTTTACGGTGTTCGTGGTTCAAAAACACCAAAGGTTTTCGGTAACACTCTCAAGCCATGCTACAGCGTGTTCTATAGCGTCCGTCCGAGTCTCCTCGTTACACTTTTTTGAAAGTGTAAGCGCAAAACGCTCTGTTGTTTACGTTTCGTGCAAAGTGTGAGTCTAAAAGAAGAAGAAGATGGCGGCGGCGTTCAAAAATGGTGTAAGCTCCTCCCCAGCAGCGCGAGAAACCGGGCCAAGATGGCCGGGGGGGTACTTGCATGAGTGGCGAAGGCATAAAACTGTGTCAACGTCCCCTCCCTCCTCCTAGATGGCGCCATGAAATATTTATGCAGCGACCTTGAATGCCCACACCGGCCCGCGTCCTCTCTATACGTGACCCCCTCCCTCTCTTGTCCTACATCCTTGCTATACGCCTCGCTGCGCTCTCTCGCCGCGCGCGCTGCTCACGTTTTGCACCTGAACGCAATCTCTTTGTCTTGCTTGGATGTTTTATTCAATCGGCCGGCCCACGTCTCGAGGATGATCTGCGCGTGTGAGAGAGAGAGAGAGAGAGGAGAGAGAGAGAGAGAAAGAGAGAGAAAAACTGTTGTGCCCTGTGCGTTCTCCTCACATTCCCCACTATGAAGGACGCAGTGTTCTGTACCGCTAGCGTTTCTATGTTGCTTGCTGTGCTGAAGAGGGGTCCCTTCTTTTTATTTTTCTACTGCGATTGTGTCGTTGTGTGTTTTTTTGGCTGGGGGTACATGAGACTATACTGGACAGAGACTAGTAAACCTACGACTGGACCTGAGACGGACATGAGACTGGACATGAGACCGGACATGACCTCGGTCGGAGGGGCACCTGGGGCAAAGTCTCATGTCTGAGGCCGGAAGTCTCATGTCTCCAGACATGAGACGGACATGAGACTGGACATGAGACAGACATGAGACTTTGCCCCTGGTGTCTCATGTCTGGGGCAAAGTCTCATGTCCGAGTCCGGAAGTCTCATGTCTGTCTCATGTCTGTCTCATGTCCGTCTCATGTCTGGAGACATGAGACTTCCGGCCTCAGACATGAGACTTTGCCCCAGGTGCCCCTCCGACCGAGCCCATGTTCGGTCTCATGTCCAGTCTCATGTCCGTCTCAGGTCCAGTCGCAGGTTTTCTAGTCTCTGTCCAGTTTAGTCTCATGTACCCCCAGCCGTTTTTTTTCATGCGCTCCATATGTGAAACAAACGACGCTTGGTAAACACCCACAAGAAACTGTAATTTGGAACCCTTTGAAGCGTTTCATCGCCC